ATTTTCTTCCTGCCACTTTTGGGTGTTTCTAGCAGTGTGACACAGTGCTCCATCTTTCTGGAACAATGTTGTGTTCTTGTCCACGAAACCCGAGGAATAAAGTGGCAAGTGTCCTTCCTCCAATATTTCGACGTATTTCGCAAAATTTATGTTGCCAACGCACTCCACTAAGCTCAATCTCTCACCAACCCAAACAGCTCCCCAAACCATCACGCTGAAACCACCATGCATCACAGTTGGCTGCAATCTGTTGAGCCAAAACTCTTGATGAGGCATTCTCCAGACCCATATCATTTTACTGTCCGAAAATTGAGCGAATCTTGATTCGTCTGAGAACAGTACGGTGTTCCAAAAGCCATCATATCACTTGCCCACTGCTTTCGTCTGACTATGTTGGCAGGTCTTAATAAGGGCTTCCGTCAAGTTGCTCTGCAACGATAACCTAATCTGTGGAGAATCCGTTGAACAGATTTCGGGCTCATCCCACCAACTTTGACCATTTCTACAGTCGTTAATCTGGGATCCATTTCGATGCTTCTCTTGACAGCCCTTTTTGTCCTCTCCGATGGACCAGGACGACCCGGATGCTGCTCAGTTGTTTCCTTGCCGTGTTTCCTGAACTGCACGATGATTCTGTTGAATGTCGAAAGCAGGATTCCCAAATTCTGCGAAAGTTGCCGCTGACTTATTCCACCATCTGCTTGACTAACTATTCTTCCTCTAACAAAATCTGACAATTCGAGAGAACCTTGAGTTCTAAGCATGTTGTAGCACAAGATAATTAGTGTGCGGACCATTTTCATTTATATAGTGCTCTGTGAACACAAATTAGCTAGCATAAATCAGTTAAATGACGAAAAATTAGGTGTCTATTTACTTGTGACCACTCAGTGTATTTTCAATATATAATTATATTATACTCAGTGTTTTTTTTAACTAGTATTGCTATTATGTATTGTTTTTGAACATTTCTAAATGCAATGTTCAATGAATAAATAAAGTAATTAAAGAAAAATGTTAGTTTCATGATATATAAGAATATTTTGAATTAATCTATCATAACTCGAAAACTAGCGGCGATCAGTTATTTTTAACATCATATTTAGAACCAACATCGTCATATTACTCATTGCATTTATTCTAGTAGCAGAGAAATCTTTCTTGTTGCCGGGTATAATTAGTAAATTGGTTTTTTTTTTTCTATAAGTTCAATAGTTGTTCAACATACTTTGCTTTTCTCTCTTTTGAGCCAACTTTAGGCATTAACACAGCAAGAACGAAGTTTTAAAATGTTATGCTAGTGCACAAAAATAACAGTTTAGATATTTGTATGTTGTTGAATAAAGACGTTCTCATTAGCATGTTTGTTGCTGTTCTATTCTTAAGAGCATTTAAGAAAAAGTAAAAACCAAAATTTCAATCGACAACTGATCCATTAGTTTGTTATTATTTTTAACTTGTTTATTTTTTACTGTTGTCATCTTGGCCAGTTAACACCAAATGGTTTGAACATTGCTTTGAATAATAATTGTTAATAATAATAACATTAATAATTACAATATTAATAATAATAACATTAATAATTATAATATTAATAATAATAACATTAATAATTATAATATTAATAATAATAACATTAATAATTATAATATTAATAATAATAACATTAATAATTATAATATTAATAATGATTAATAATAACATTAGTCCTGAGTATCAAACGTTATTTTGGAATAAAGAAAATGTACTTCAAAGGCTTCGTTTTTGAATACAGTAATTGAACATAGATTTATCGTTAATACGATGTTATTTTTCCTTAGCAGAAATAACAATTTCAATTAATTTTAAATGCTTTTATTTAGACAAAAAACTTTCCTTTACAGGCTCCACAGGCTTTTCATTTTCTTTGTGTATTTTTTTAAATGTCGTTTACGTAATGTTTTAATACGAACATCTATAGATAGAACGAATAAGTGCTACTTATTCTATGAAGAATTTTAAATTGACAATAGTATTATAAGACCATTATCAAAGTATCGATGTTTCCTTACATTTGTTAAACATTATTTTACATTTCTTTTTAACTGCAATACAAAGTACAAGTTTCTCTCTTAAGTTGATTGAAGGATTATAATTACGAGAACAATTAACTCTGTGCTATATACTATCAACGTTCTAGGTATTCATACGTTAGGATCACAATGTTTAAAGTACATATTATATTGTACTAGACTTCAACAAGATAATACGATTAACCTAACGTAAAACAACAATATTATTCTATAAATGCTTATATTTTGTGTATTACTGTCTTAGCCCTTTTTATGTTTGCTATATATTTTCGTAAACATAATCCATATGCATTAACTTGTTATACATAATGATTAAATCGGTGAATATGCTCTGTGTATTGTCCATTAATGTTTAAAACTTTTTTGAATAGTATTTAGAGTTTTAAATAATACGTTACATTGTATTAAAATACATTTCCATATGAAATTTATACTGTAGTAAACGTATATCCTTATAACACTGATGATACTTTAGTGTACCTATGAGTTTCTGACAAAGATTTATACTCACTAAACATTTAGAAATTACATTTGGTCAATCATAACAAATGAAGGATGACGGCAAACTTTAACCTGTAGAGCTGCTGTTGAAAAACAAATACAGTTTATTTAGAAAAAGTGTGTTAAAAACGATAATAAGATACAACTGTTACTCTGTTAACACATATACTGAGAACTAAGTGTACACATTGTAAAATTATACATTATAAAGTTACTTCCATGTGTTCGTTTGTTCACAAAGTATTTAAAGTGATACCCAAACGTGTAATATATAAACTTACATAGTAGATAAAAAAAAAAAAACGTATAAAACTTTCATAAACACTGTACCAACTTCGCGTTGGATATTGTATTTTATATTAATTCCATTTTATCCATTATACTGATCTTTGTAGATAGCTTGCTTTGATCAGAAGTTAATATTAATTAATACCACTTCGTCATACTGAATTGAATTTGTAGATAGCTTGCTTTGATCAGAAGTTAATATTAATTATTCCCACTTCATCATGCTGATTCGTCTCATGTTCATCGAGATCATAACCTTAAAACTGCGCGAGACATAATAACATTAACTTAAAAACAAATATTGGTCACATATGTTAATTTAGAGGATTAAACTGCACTGATATATGACACCGAGAGTAAATTGTTTTCTTTTATATTTTTTTAAAGATTTTGCTTATTGTTCAATTTCTTTACGTTGAATTTCTAGCTACATGTTTAAAAAATCAATACAAAAAGAAACATTTTTTCAAAGTCATAGATGATTTGTACCTAAACTTTATTAGTGTATTAAACCTTTCATGATAGAATTTGTTCTCACATAACGGTTGGTTTTATGTTTTTAAGCGCAAAGCTACAGAATGGGCTAACTGTACAGTGTCCACCGCAGGTATCGAAATAATACTTAGTAAAAGACAACCTTGTGTTTTTATTTCCATGATTTGTTAGTGATAAAAAATAAACAGCTAGAATTGTTACTCCCATTAATATATATTAAAGTCGAAATAAGATCAAAAACTGTATGTCACTGAATTGTATGCAAAATTTGTGTTTTATATCTACAGAATCATAACATTTGATTATACGGTCGTGAATAACACACGTTTACATCACACTAAGGTTTTACATGTTTCTTTATGTGAAACCTCCCGGTGGATCAGCGATAATCTTCAAATCTTATGAAGTTAAAATTAGGGTTTCTGCTTCTTACAACACAGCTTTAGATTTAATGCAGTTCAGGATCTTGTACCCCAAGAGAACTTATTTCAGATAGAACAATAATATTTGAAATATTTCCTGAGAAAGAAGAATCCATGGTAGACGTATAACTTCATGGAATGACTAGTATAATTAGGGTGTCCGGCATGGCCAGGTGGTTAGGGCACTCGACTCACAATCTGAGAGTCGCGGGTTCGAATCCCCGTCCCACCAAACATGCTCGCCCTTTCAGCCGTGGGGGCGTTATAATGTAACGGTCAATCCCACTATTCGTTAGTAAAAGAGTAGCCCAATAGTCGGCGGTGGGTGGTGATGACTATCTGCCTTCCCTTTAGTCTTACACTGCTAAATTAGGGACGGCTAGCGCAGATAGCCATCGTGTAGCTTTGCGCGAAATCTCAAAAACAAACAAACAAGTATTATTAGGAATGATGCTAAGGAGGTCATGGACAAGGATTTGTGCCGTCACAGTCGTGAAGAGTCATGAGTAGATAGGAGGGACGGAGAGTGCGGCGTGTACGATTACATTCCCTAAACTGCACCCATATATGTATAAAACATATTAAAAGGTTTAAAAACACCCTGAAATACTATAAAAATTAATCATTTTATATGAAAATTAGAAATGATTTCTGAAGGGGCATGTCTCCAGACTCCCCAGTATGATTTTACCACTCATTTCCTCTTTCCTCCAAAAGTAGAACCTCATTTGTAGATTTCTGCCTCCGCCCCTGTGTACTGCTTATTGTGTTAATACCTCGAAACATTTCTAGACTAAATAACGAGCTTTTTTTCATACTTTCAGTGAAAATTAAGTGTTTTTACAACGAGAGATCTGGTCAAGATTTTATCTGAAAACTTTGAAGTAACACTGAACTTAAAACCAAACTCGCTGTACTGACGCAAAAATAAGTCCAATCATTGACGAAAAATGACTGAATATTAACCTAGCATTTTAATATTCCTACAGATTTCCCGTGTGCTTGAATATTTTCATCATTACCCGTTCTGCAGTTTCGGTGCGACTTTATATATTTTATCAGTTATGTATAACTGCGGGAAGTTAAATAAAGTGAGATAACTGTTCTATTAAACTTTGTAATTATTATGTCATCTGAACAAAGAATATCTGTATAGACGCGTTACTCAGTTATTTCTCAAACATTCCAGTTAAAACATTCTTCAAGCAACTTCAACATGCTCTAGCCATGACTTAAGACATATACAGAAGGTTGATTACGTTACATAAATATAAAGTCGCAGTTGAACGGCAGATATTAGAGCTGAATCTTGACATTATTTGCCATTACTTAGGTAGTACGATGCCACAGAAAACTGATTGCTTTTGGGAAAGGTATGTAACAACCCTTTCCGACTCAAAATATTCTTACACTTACGTCATAAAGATTTATTCAGATCAGAGATTTGAATTTCAGAAAGGATAATATATCTTGTTCCTAACGGCATTGAAAAACAAAGGAAATGGATCAACTTGGAGAACCAGGACCACGCAGAAAAGAGATCTACAATAAGTCATAATCCAGCCGAGGTAAGCAAAGTGCGACATGTTGTAAAAGGTAAGCATCTACGAACACAAAGTTTCGTGGCAAAAGCTGTTCAAATGCCATAAGAAACTGTACTCAACATACTCAAGTGGATCTCCGCACAGAAAAGTGACACAAGCCACATGAACACAAGCTGCTTCCACGATATATCCGTTAAACTGTTGCATACCTCAACCAACTGGAGAATGAAACCGGTATTCATGAAATTTCATATGAAGCCATACCGATAAAGTCGTCAGGAATTTTGTGAAATTGGACTGTTGAAACAAGAGCTGGAAAACCACTGTCCATGTAAATTTGGTGGAAATGGAAAGCTTGCAGGGAGATGTGGTGTGCTTTCGACAGGACAGTCTTACAATGAAATTTTCTGCAACGGAAACTGTTCTACTGAGCTAATGTCAAGGTGTGTGGTTATTAGACAGAGAATGACCGGACGCAATGACATGGACAGCAATGACGTGATGAAGCTACAAAATCATATTGATATAACGTACTCAACCTCTGTATAATGTTGTAATGAAGTTTGTGTGATTGTCAGTCTGAAAATGATTAAAATAGTGAGGTATGCATTGATATGCAAACGAAGACAAAATGGTGGTATAATATCCTGGCAAAAATTGATAGTGCTACAAAAAACTCTGACGTTCACCTTTTTTGCTTCACACGAAAATACACTTGACTTTAGTGTTCGTGCTATGTAACGTTACAACCAGGCTTATTTAATTGTCTCTCTGGTTATACGTAGCATTGTGACCAGGTTCAAGTGATTGTCTGTATTTGGATATGTAACGTTACAATTAACTTTATGTGATTGCTTATCTGGGTATATGTAACGTTACATCCAGGTTTATGTGAGTGTCTCTCTGGACATCATGGAGTAAGTAGACTCTATATGCAGGGATGGACAAAGTACTCAATAGGTATAAAACGAATACGCACGCTAAAAATCAACAATGACAGAGAATTTTTCTTTCAAAGATGATTTGATTCTCTATCTAACAAGCCCCAAAACCAGGCAAGAAACCATCGCTAAGATACCAAACCAGAAAGAGACCAACATAACAAATTATTCAGGTTTCTTCTTCTTGTTTTAGTCGGATAACTCTACAACTATTTCATCACTAACGTCAGTTTAGATCCAAATCCACTCTATGTGTTTCTGAGCAGTGTAAGATGTTATCGCTTAGTCGTAATAACTAGTAGTGAATAAAAAAACATCATAATTCTAGATATAAACGATGTTATCATTACACCTTGAAGTTAGCTTTTTTACAGAAATCTAGTGTTCCTGTAAAACGCTTAAGTACAGGGTAAAACAGGAATTACCACCCAATGTAGCATATACTCAATAATAATTTGTACACTATACAATCGGTGTCCTTAAGTAACCAATTCTTATATTACATATGAAGTGAAGGAGTAAAAAAAATCAATATACATAATATTAAATTTTATTAAACACATTTATAGAATACACTAACTTTATGTATACACAGACAAACAGTCACAAGACCTAAACGTAACATTACATATACCCAGACAGGCAATCATATAAACGTGGTCACAATGCTTGATATATGCAAGCAATAAAAAACATTTTGCAAATGTAAAATGATGTAGGGATGGCAGTGCCGAAAATATACATAATATTAAATTTTATTACACACATTTATAGAATACACTAACTTTATGTATACACAGACAAACAATCACAAGACCTAAACGTAACATTACATATACACAGACAGGCAATCATATAAACGTGGTCACAATGCTAGATATATGCAAGCAATAAAAAACATTTTGCAAATGTAAAATGATGTAGGGATGGCAGTGCCGAAAATAGTGCAAACAAGAACATAGGGATGATACAGCGATACATAGATAAACCCCACATGACTTTCAATATCAAAATTTATACGTAGCGTTACGCCAAAGTTTATGTGATTGTCTGTCTGGGTATGTGTAACGTTATGTCCAGGTTTATGTGATTGTCTGTCTGGGTATGGGTAACGTTACATATAGGTTTATGTGATTGTCTGTCTGGGTATGTGTAACGTTATGTCCAGGTTTATGTGATTGTCTTTCTGGGTATGTGTAAAGTTACGTCCAGGTTTATGTGATTGTCTGGCTGGGTATATATAACATTACGTCCAGGCTTATATGGTTGTCTGTCTGGTTATATGTAGCGTTACGTCCAGGCTTATGTGATTATCTGTGTGGTCACATGTAGCGTTACGCCCAGATTTATGTGATTGTCTGTCTGGATATATGTAACGTTACGCCTAGGTTTATGTGATTGTCTGTCTGGGTATATATAACGTTGAGTCGAGATTTACGTGATTGTTTGTTTGGGTATATGTAACATTCTGAACAGGTTTGTGTGATTGTTTTTCTGGGTATGTGTAACGTTGTAAGAAAGTGAATTTGTATGTTTGGATATGTGATGTATTATATTTCAGTTTATATCATTTTCTGTATGGGTGTAAACAACACTGTGATCAAGCGTTTACGCTTGTTTGTTTGAGTAAATCTGACGTTGTGATCAAATTCGTACGTTCGTCCGACTGGACAAGTGACATCGCACCGACTGTCTATGTAAAGGCAATCGAGTATACGTGCTTATCAGGCTAGACATGTGTAATACTATGACAGGATTAGAATGCTTATCTGTTTGGTATGTATTATATTGTGATGATAGTGTTTGTAATGTCTATAAAAACATATGAAAATAACCGATGATCGTGTTTGGGATTGCTCTACTTATTAAAATCTGTATATGATGGATATTATAAGGTATCGACAGTCATGTGAACATGTTTATTATATGCTATTTATAAAAAGCCTTGTAATGTCTATAAAAACATATGAAAATAACCGATGATCGTGTTTGGGATTGCTCTACTTAATAAAATCTGTATATGATGGATATTATAAGGTATCGACAGTCATGTGAACATGTTTATTATATGATGGATATTATAAGGTATCGACAGTCATGTGAACATGTTTATTATATGATGGATATTATAAGGTATCGACAGTCATGTGAACATGTTTATTATATGATGGATATTATAAGGTATCGACAGTCATGTGAACATGTTTATTATATGCTATTTATAAAAAGCCGCATTCGTGAGAGGTTGTTTTTCTTATCTGAAAAAAAAGTTTCATTTTCTTCATTTAACAAACGAACAATTTTATTTAAGTTACTTATCTTCAGTGACCACTATATGAACTTTAATTCGAAGACGAAAATATAAGAATATATTTTATAATCCAAATTTCAAATTAAAAGTTTTACCATAATTACTGTAACTTTTTTAATTGTTTCAAAGCAAAAACACACATTTTAACAAATATAATCTATTTTTATTTATTCATTTGACAAAATTAGAATATCATTTTTTTTTAATTACTGGCTCATAAGTTTGTTTTACTTAAATTTCTCAAGTAGCTTTAATATTCCAGTTGCTTCAGTTACATTATTGATTTGTTTTATTTAGGCTCCTCCTCCTTTTTTGTTACCTTGGCAACGTGTTGTTGTTATGTTATTTGACGCAAAGTCATTCATTGCACTAAGCAATCCTTATGAAATTGAAATTTAAACGAAAATCTGTATCTTTGGTGTAATTACTGTAAATATCCTACAAAGTGTTCAGTTATTAAAGAACGTTGTATACTTGGCTGCCATCTAGTATTATTATATTTAAACTTGCTAGTATACTTTCGGCAAATAGAACATATGAACATATTTTATTTGTTTGAAAGTTATGGTTCTTGCGATACCTTCGAAAGTCATTGAAAAAATTTAGTCAGTAGTAATTTAATATGCATATAAAAAACAACACTTGTGTTAAGTTTTCCATGCAAGGAAAATAGAACTTAATACAAGAGCATTCTTGCTACCTTCGATTATTATTTTAAAGTTCAAACAAAACAAATATACAATTCAACAATAAACAATGTCTGACTCATATATATGAAACACTATAGTTTTTTGTATAGGTGTTTGGAATCTTATTTATTCTGATTAAGAAGTTAGCACACAGGATCACATACAAAAAGTTGTAATGATTTTCAAAGGAGACCCAAAACTTGCCCCCCCCCCTAATGGCACAGACTGCAGACTTAACGCTAAAAACCAGGTTTCGATACCCGTGGTGAGCATGGCACAGATAGCCCATTATGTAGCTTTGTGCTTAGCTTCAAACAAGCCCAAAACTCGAGCGCTTTCGAATAGTTCACTATTCTTCTTCAGGAGAATAAAAGGTTAATGTTTATGTTTAATGAGTGTGATGTCGACGTCACGTAAAACGGATGTTCAATATGAGTTCTCTTATGAAATCTTATATCATTTAGACAACAGCTTAACATTAAAACTTTGCATTTTAAGAATTTTTGGAATTGAAATATTCATCTTTAGTGCACAAGGGGTAAGCGGCCAAGTTTCATATCCCTAGGACTAAGGTATAGCTCTCCTTAATTTTGACATTCTTGTAAGAGAGAAGGTAGTTAGTCAACAGCACTCACCGCGATAATGCGCCCTCAACTGAAAGTGTAGAGTGTTTCATGTCTTGAACTCCAGAGCCTTTGATTCTCAACCCGACACGCTAACTACTAGCTCTCGAATGGTTAAGATTTTTAGGTGCAAGAGTTTAGAAAAAAAAATAAGTAGCTATGATGATTTTATGGATATAAGCCTTCTGAAGAAAAAATACCATTGATTAACACAATAAGTATAATTTCACTAAAAAATTTTACATTTGTTGTATTTACAGCACTGTAATTGAATAACAAAAATTGCAATCCGGACAGGTTCAGGGCTGTTACTCGTTCTATATAACATCTACATGAAACTTGAAAGAGGACGTCCTGAGCTTCATCCTTAAAACCAAAAATATGTTCGATTATTTTGTTCACTCTGATCTTAATAAAGTACAAAAATTCATATTAATTTCATTCCAGAATGTATCAGCAAACTTTCTCAGAATTGTTTTGCTTGTAGTTAAGCACAGAGCTACACAATGGGCTGTCATGTCTGTGCCCACTACGGGTATCATCATCCAATTTCTAGCGATATACGCCGCGGACGTACCGCTGTGCGACTGGGGGGCTAACTTTTACATACTCTTAAGTATATATTTTTCATGTCATATAGTAAATTCCTTATCCAAATATATTCCGCTTATTATTTTATAGTTTTGTTTTATAAAGTAGAAGGAGGAAAAATGGAAAGGATGCACTGAAACCCACAAAGCTGGGGTTTTAGCCCCAATCTCCACCAGTTATATATATATATTACTCAAACACCATCTGCCGAGGGGAGAGGTGGTAATTCACTGCATAATTAATATATGTGAAAGAGCTCTACACTTTCTAAAAGCTAATTCCATGTAAGGTTCAGTCAAACCTTTAATTATCAATTTCCGATTGTAAGTTTAATTTACTAATGATTACATGTTCGGACTACTAAAAGAAAATTACTTGTTTCCTGAGGCTTTTGTAAAAATATGTCCTTCAAAAATATGTATAAACACCACGAATAACTTTTCTACAGTTACTGAACCAGTGAGCTTCTGAACAAAATTTAATGCTTTATAACCATGAAAAATTATATTGGAAATCTATGTCGTTCCTATAAATGTGGCTTTTGCATTAATAAAACGCTGTTGTATCTTTGAAAAGGTGACCCATAGGCCGGGCACGGCCTATGTTTGTATACTCAGACTGTGAACTTGAGGATTCATGGCTTGCAGCTAGTTGTCGCGAAAAACGCGCTACACTTTGGGGTTGTATATAGGTGCTCTATAAAAATGACTGTTAACTCCCACAACTGGTCAAAAAAGGGTAACCCTAGAGTTAGCATAGAGTGCTGGTGATTGGCTGCCTTTCTTGGAGACTATAAGCTCAAAACTATAAAGAACGGCTTCTATAGCTTTGCACTAAAATTCTGAAATAAACAATTCTTTACAAACATGAGACTTGTATTAGAATTTGTTTTATGTTTGCAAATGTTATTTTTACACTAGAACACTGTTATATTTTCACGCACTTCACACACTAGAACGCTGTAATATTTACAAAGTTCACTCTTACAATATAACCTCTGTCATACAACATAACATGATATTTAGGGACAACAATGGACTTATGATTCTATTTAGACTATCCCATCCTCTAAATTAAACAAAACTATTAAATAAAAATATCAAAATCAAAACAACCTCAAAGCCAGTCCTTATCATTGATATAGTTATCAAGCGTTCTCTTAAACTCACATAAAATTGCTGCCTCCACAATATATGAAGGCAACTCGTTCCAAAAAGCTAACCACCCTGTTAGAAAATAAAACTGTCTTAGCTGAGGATGACTCCTTCGCTGCCAAAATTTATATTTCTCTCCGCTAGTCTTACCATTCTCACCATTAAAAATGAAAAAAGTTGATGCATCAACACTATCAGTTTCCTTAATAATTTAAACACTTCAAACAGAT